GATGAAAAATGCTATCCGCCCCAAAAAAACAACTGATAAAGTCAAAATGCAGACTGAAGAATACTTTTTTTTAGCTTTCTTTATTTTTCTTGGGTTTTTTTTTTTTGGTCGGTGTTTTCTTCCACAACATGATTAATATGGAAATGTTTTACATGACTGCACACATATAACCTATATCAAATTGCCTTCTTAATGAGGGGGGAGGGAAGGGAGGAACAGTATTTGGAATTCAAGATTTTAAAAAACAAATATTAAAAGTGTTTTTGCATGTAATTGGAAAAAATAAAATATTTATTTTTAAAAGTGCAGTCATCAGCTTTTTGGCTCTGCTGGTACAGCCTTAGAGCAGTCATTATCAAACTTTTTGGCCTTAGGACTCCTTTACACTCTTAAAAATTGAGGAGCCTCTATTTCTATAGGCAAATACAGTCAGTATTATGACAAAAAAAAAATTTCTGACCTTGCAGATCCCTTGGAAAGGTCTCAAGGATCCACATGGGGCCCTAGATCATCTGTGAGAACCATTGCCTTAGAGCACCCAGAGTCACCCCAAAACCATGATGTGGCATCAGTGGCAAGAGAATAACAGCCTCAGTTTTCATTTCCCCATTCCCATATACTTCAGTTTACAGACGAATCAAAATAAGTCATTTTGGCTGTCTGTTTCCATGACCCTTGTCAGGGAGACTGGTTGACACTCTTGGTCTGATCTTCTTAGCACATTGTGCCTGGATTTCCAGGCTGCCTCTAAGTAAGACACTGGTGTACGTCACCTTGGGGCTATCATGGCCAATGCCGAAATCTCTTTTGCACAACTATGCACATTTGTTACAAGGGAAGGTTGGAAAGGGAGAGTATAGCAATAAAGTTATCCTCTTTCCCCAAAGAAAGAAGGACATTCAGATTTTTTTTAATGCACAGAAGAGAACAGAAAACCAAAATCATAAACAAGTAGGCAGCTTTGAAAGTTACACGTTGAATTTATTAACTATTTAAATGGAAAAGTAAGCTGTGCATAATAGATTCATAGCACAATCTCTTTTTTTGTTATTGTTCTATTTTATATATGGAACTGCCCATTTTCTACGGTATTTCTTAAGTTCAGAATAAAAATAATAAATTATTTTTAAACAAAATGACAAAACAGCATAGAGAGCCAGCCTTGGAGTTAGGAAGACCTGAGTTTAAGTCTTGCCCCCAATCTATATTAACTGTGTGACTTTGGGCAAGTCACTTAACTCTTCAGTTCCTCACTGATGGACATAGAAGTCAAAAACAAAAAAGAAAGGTCCCCTATACACTGTCCCTGACAACTCTAAAATCAGATGTCCATACACATCAGCAAAGGGACTTTGCCCATGAGGAGCTCCAACATGGATGAAATCACAGATCCAGACATTTAAAAAGTAGACTAGATCATCTCATCTCTTCCATTTGTTAAATTCTATGTTCTATTATCCCTTTCATCTCTTAGTCCTTTGATCCAATGCTATTAAAGCTCTCACTAGACCACTGATCCTCCCAGGTATCACCACAGCTACTTTATGAGGCTGATATTGCCCAATGGCTGAGTAGCCAGTGAAAACCATGCCCACTGCACAATGGCAGCCAGTCACTGGAAGACATCTACTTCACTGGGCATCACATGGTAGCTAGAGCAGCAGGCCGAACAGCTGCAGCCAGTCATGTCCAGTCACTACTTCCATAAAAAGCACATGATGGAGAGTAAAAAAATGCTGGTGATTTGTTGAACTGGCCATTTGCATGGACCAGGTCAGTTAGAACTCAGCTAATGCCATGAAATTCAAGTGTTTTGGTCTCAGAAACCCTTTACATGCTTAAAAAATATCTGAGGACCCCAAAGAGCTTATGTTGATATACAGTCACCAAATTGCCATATTAGAAATTAAAACTGGAAAAAAAAATTTAAAGCATTTAGCAATTAATTTTTAAAATAACAATAAAACCACAAGTTAACATAAATTACCTATTTTTATGAAAAAAAAATTTCCAAAGTGATTTAGTGAGAAGAGTGGCATTGTTTTACATTTTTACAAATCTCTTTAAATGTCTGGCTTAATAGAAGGCAGATGGATCCTCATATCTGCTTCTGCATTCAATCTATCACAATGTTCTTTTGGTTAAATATGAAAAGAAAAACTGGCCTCACACAAATATGTAGTTAGAAAGGGGAATATTTTAACAGGCAAATAACATCTTAGTATTATGAAAGTAGTTCTGACATCAGAGACTCCCAGGAAGTGGTCTGGGGACCACACTTTGAAAACTGCTGCTATGGAGGGTGAAAGATGAAATAAACGACTGAGGAAACAAAGGTTTGATCTTCCAAGCATATCAATTTATGAAGCAATGCATGGCAATTGCCCAACAAACAGGGACCAGACTGCCTCAGCTTAGGCCTGGACCCTGAATACAAGGGGAGACAGACTTTAATATATTTAAACAATAAATCAAATTAGTCCAATTAATTAAAGGAAACAATACAACATAGATAATCTGATTTCTAGTTGGATGAAAGATTAGCGACTTTCCAGGTTGGGAGGGGGTACAGTTCCCTGAATTCAGAAAAAGAGTGGTCTCACTATCCCTGAGTGTTTGTAAACAATCAAAGGAACATGGAAACAATAACTGATTGATCAGTATAGGGCCAGTTTTCAGATAAGAACATGGGTTGTCTGAGATGTACAATCGTGAGAAAACTCCTTACATCAATCTTTGGTTCTGACTGAGGTTCTGGTCAGTACAATCCAGATCCTTAGTTAAGGGAGCTGTGAATTGGTTCAACCATTCTGGGAAAGAATTTGGAATTTTGCTTTAAAAATAATAATAAAGCAACTAATATGTCCGTTAAGGCAACTAGGTGGCACAGTGTATCCAGGCCTAGAGTCAGAAAGACTCGAGTTCAAATCTGACCTCAGACACTAACTGTATGACCTTGGGGAAGTCACTTTACCCTGTTTACTTCAGTTTCCTCATCTGTCAAATGGGCTGGAGAAGGAAATGGCAAACCACTCCAGTATCTCTGCCATGAAAACCCAAATGGAGTTATGAAGAGTCAGACACAACAAGAAGTCCATACCCTTGTGACCCAGAGACCCCACTTACAGGCCCAAGGGCAGAAAAATCCTAAATATACCAAATATTTTACAGTAGCACTTTCTGTACTATCAGAGAACAGGAAACAAAGTAGTTGCCCATCTATTGGGGAATGGCTAAACAAATTACGGTCCATGAAAGTAATGGAACTTAATTGTGAAATAATAATAGCCATGAAGAAATCAAAGGAGAGGCAAGAAAACTATGTGCAAGAGAAATGAAACCAAAAAGACCCTGAATGTTGAGTGACTAGGATTCAGAAGCATGGAGCTGTAGCTGCAGTTACTTCCTTCCCTTCTTGGAAAAGGTGGGAGACTGTGGAGGTGGAAAATTGCATACAACCTCATGGATGGTTGGTTCTGCTGCCCTCTTTTTTCTTTATTGTTTGTTACAAGGGATATCTTGCTGGACAGGGAAGGGGAGACAGGGATCTACTCAGAATATAAGAACAGGAGCACTGGATATGGAGCAAGAACCCTGAATTCAAATCCTGACAATGAAATTGCCATGTAGCAAAGCACAAGTCACTTCCCTTGTCCTGGGAAGTAGGTGGTGCCCAGGTTTTTCTCAATCATGCAGATGGGTTAGCTAAAGCCCACAGCGGGACAATAATTTGCTCAGAGTCACGGGCACTAAGTGGTAGCACCAGGATTCAAACCCAGATCCTCCGACTAAATCAATACTCTTACCACGACACCACAGAACTGCTTAAGCTGGGTCAGTCCCCTCCACCTCCGCCCCCAAAGAGTCCTCGCTGCCCCACCCCAGCCTCTCCCATAATAAAAATACTCGCGAGACAAACATAGCTTCACGCATTTATTGATAAATGTTCAATAAAGCTTTCATTGAACAGGAAGGGGCCAACTGTACACGATTGTCTCAACACAGATGGTGGGGCTTATACACAGACACGGACACAGACACACACACACATACATTCACACGTACACACACACATACAAACTCACCATTTTAACTTCATGTTTAGGGTGCAACAGATTGGCCAATGGAGGCTAAGGGTGGCTGATGGTCAGACAAAGCTCTCCCCATCCTGTGCGCTCCCCTCATGGCCTGTACTAAGGGCAAGCAATACCTGCCTGAGCTGTCAGCAGCTATGGGGAGGGCGTCCTGGATACCCCCTTGCCTGCTTAAGCCTCCTGATACATTCTCTTCTCTTGAAATATTTTGGATTAAAAAAAAAAAACAGGCCCTCCTCTCCCCCATTTCATATGATCTCCACCTTCCCCTCCAACCTCAGCCTCCCACCCCCACCCCCCCACTGCCTGCCCCAGGCCTTAGGATGGTGCTGCTAAAACTATCTTAGGCATCTGAACCCTTGAAAAGAGACAGGTTTGGGGGTAGGAGGTTGAGATCAAGAGGAAACGGAGGCATGATCAGAATGACCTGAGGTCACATCTACTTTTCTGTCTTATACACTTTTTGATATTACGAGAAAAAGCCTGGACTGTGAGGCCTGGTTCCAAATTCCTGCAAAAAGCAGGCTATATGACCTCAGTCCCTCTCTGGGCCTCAGCTGCCTTGCCTGCAAAATGGGGAGATTAATACCAACATCACATGGGATGTTCTGAGGAGCAAATAAGTGGATAGAGGAGAAGGTGTTGGGGGAAAGTAGCAGCATGGCTCAGAAAGGGGGGGAGGAAGAAGCCTTCTCTTTCTTTGGGGTCTGGACTCATGCCTTGGTAGGAGATGGGATCTAGCACTGGGACCCTGGTAGATGGCAGAGTCTCCGCCTTGATTTCAGTAGCATCCCCCTGGGGGCTTTGCCCATGTTGTCTGGGCCCTCAAACCCATGAGCTAGTGGCTAAGCCCAGCCCACCCCCAAGCAACCCCCCACTCCTCCCTGCCCTGGAAAAACTGGCAGCATAAGCCAAGCTTCCTTCAGGACTGGGGGAGGGAGAGGAAGGGGGAACAACATTTTTGTTTTTGAAGAATCATAAAGTCACATAAGTTTTCCAAACCCAAATCTGCCTCATTTTTGTCTGTTTGTTTGTTTGAGGCGGGGGAAGGGGAAGGATAAGGAAGCAAAGCCTTTGGCCGGGTTCAGATCCTCTGTCCTGGTCTGGACCTACTTCCCCTGTCATTCCCCAGGATCCAGGCTTAGGAGGGGATGGACCTAGTCAAGTTCCCACCTGCTGGAACCGTGCTCACTCTGAGATTACAGCAACCCTGGGCTCCCAGGAGTGGCAGACACACAAACAGGCCTGCCTTTCTAGCCTGGCAGATGGACAGATAGAAAAACCTGCTTGTACGAAAAGCACATACTTCGTTTGACCACGTTAAACAAAATAAATTAAACATACATGGCCCCTGCTTAGATACTCTCTAGGCTGAAGAGGGTGTTTCCTTTACATTAACACCCAGCTACAGCCAACGGAGAAGAGGTGGGCAAGTGGGCCCCGGCATCTCTCTCAAGGGCTCAGCCTTGGCTCTAGATGGGCAACCCAGGGTTACCCTTCTTGGGGTGCAGTCATCAGCTGGAGCGATCTCTAGGATAGATGACCATTCCACAAGGGTTACCCTTCTTGGGGTACAGTCATCAGCTGGAGCGATCTCTAGGATAGATGGCATTCCACAAGGGATGCACTGAAGTCAGTGCTGCTGACCCTGGAGGGCCTTTGCCCGCTCTCGGGAAGGCTCTCCTTTTTATTATTATTATTAATATTATTATTATTTTCTTAATTTCTTAAATATAAATAGCAGAGGGAATGGCAGGGGGAGAGGGGAAGGGGAAGTCTGGAGAGCCCAATGAATGATGGTGCCATGCCGGGGGCTAGCAGAGAGTCCACAGCTCAATGGCCTTTCCCAGGACTCCCTCACCCGCCCCACCCCCACCCCACCAGAGCTGGCCTGTTGGAAGTGAAACAAGCCTTTCCTCTCCTCCCTTTCTGGCCCCAGCACAGGGCAGGGGACATTGCTCCATGCAGGAGACCAAACCCCTTCCTTCTATCTCCACAACTCTGGGCATGGAACAAGGCGGGATGAAGGGATGGGGGGCATCTTTTGTTTCTTTAAAGCCAAGAACCCACTGACAAAGCACCCACTGCTTCAGGGGCCAGGGAGGGGGGTTTGAGATGGGGTGGAGGCGAATAAAGCATCAATCAAGGATGATTGCCTTGGAGCAAGAGCAGGGGTAGGGGGAGGACGATTCCTTCATTATTCCATCACTACAGATTCACTGCAATGTCACAAAAAAAAAAAATAGAACTCTTTATATAGATTCTCTCTTTCTGAGACTCCGTCTATGTCTGTTCCTGTAGCTCTGTGTGTCTCTAGATCTGTCCTGGAAGCTGCATCTGCATCAGCCTCTGTCCACATCCATCTCCTGGAGCTCCCTCGGCATTCTTCCACATCTCTGTGGCTCTGTCTCTCTGTACCTCCTGCCCCATGGGGGGTCTGTATGGGTCCCAGCTGGGGTGCCCCCCCACAAAGGGGCCTCGCTTAACCACCTGCCGCCACATAGAGCCGGGATATCGAATACCCACTGCCTGGGCCGCCACCACCTAGCACTGGTAATGTATGTGCTGGTGAACTTTGCCTTCCACGTGGGAGTGGGAGTGGGTATGCGTGTGGGTGTGGATGTCTGTATAGAGCTTAGGGTACAGCTTGGTGGTGGGGCCTGGGCCTTGGCCCAGAAGGTGCTGCTGTGCTGGGGGGGGCAGCTGGGGCTGACCCCCCACCCCATAATCCTCGTAGTGTCCTGAGGTCAGGCAGTCCTTGTCAGGCACGGCAGCCAAGCCGGCTCGGTCCCGAGGGGGCAGCCGGTGGCCTGGCGCTGCCGGGGGCGGGGAACACGGCTTCTTCTTGGTCTGACACAGCCACAGCAACACGGTGCCCAAGATGAAGACGGCGCCGGCTGGGATGCCAATAACCACTGGCCAAGGCAGACTGCTGGTTGATGAGGGAGCTGCTGGGCCACTGGGGGGCTTGGGGTCTGTAAGAGGGAGATGCCAAGACAGAGACAGAGAGACAGCCAGGGAAAGTGACAGAGGAAAAGAGACAGAGACGGACACAAGGACAGAGAAAGATCGAGACAGACGGGAAAGGGACATATAAGCCCACGGAGGGAGAAGAAACAGGGAAACAGAGGAAGAGAGAAACAGGACACACAGGTGGAGGAACAGAGAAGGACAGAGACGGGGGAGGGGGAGACAAAAGGAGACAAAAAGAGGGAGAGGAGAAAGGGGGAAAATTTGAAGAAGGATGAGGATAGGGAAGGAGGAACATGGAGAAGGAGAGAGGCACGGAGACAAGATGAGAGGGGCAGGGAAATGGAACGAGATGACGAGAAAGCCAGAAACATGAAATCAGGAAAACAGAAACACAAAAACAATAAAAAAAAAAAGTCACTGTGAGACAGCAGGGCAATGAGGAGCGGATTGCTTGGTTTATTAATTTAGGCCCCCAAGGGGACTGGCAGAATAGGGCTTCCCTGGTCGTGGTCCTCAGAGGGAGGCCACACCAACCCCCAAGAAGGGGGAGTTCAGGGGGATGTGAAAGCCCTAGGCCCTGAGGAATTTTGAGGCCCCCTCAGGTAGGAAGGCACTGAAAGGGGTGTGAGTCGGGTTTCGCGGTGGTCATACCACCCGGCCTCTGAATCACAAACTGATCTAAGGACCACAGAAAGGCTCTTAGAGGTTTTGGAGTCCAATCCTGCAATTTACAGGTGAGGAAACTGAGGTCCCAGAGAGGAAAAGGAACTGACCTTACCCAAAGTCAATACAAATATTAAGTGGCCACACTGGGATTTTAAACTCCAAATCTAGTGCACTTGACTCCCATACCATGCTGTCTCAATCAGATGCTCCCCATTATACAAAGGCTACCCCTTAAGACTTCTTTTATTCACAGCCCCACCCACCCCCAAATACTAAAGACAGAGCTGTGGGGCTATCAGAGGCACATTGTAGAGAGGAGGCTTGGGAAAGGACACAGGAGACATTGACCCTGGAGGGGAAGGGACCCTGGAGATGGCAAGGACCCCGTCCTTGGAGCCAGACCAGTATGGGGGAGCCCAACGCTCTGATGCCTCACCTGGCAGCACGGTCAGGAAGGCACTTCGGAAACTGTAGCCCATGGTGTTGGCTCCGAGGCAGATGTACATGCCCGCATCCTCCTGCCGGGCACGGGTGATCATAAGCTTGTTGAGGTAGGAGCCATCGGGCCGGGACCACACATCCCCAGTGGGGAGCACCACAAACTTCTGGCCGCCAACATCAATGGTGGAGTTGTACTTGCTCTCTGTACCGTATTCAACCCGCTTAAGCCACTGAATCACTGGCTTCACGTCACTGCGCACCTTGCACTGAAAAGATGTCGTCCCGCCAAAGTCCACGGTAGTGTTCACTGGGTGGGTGCCCGTCAGGATGGGCTTGGAGCGGGTCCGCTCTGAAATGGGTGGGCAAGTCCTTTGTCAACATCCCTGCTCCCCCTCGCCCCACCACCACCCCATCTGGTTCCCAGAAGAATCAAAGGACCTGGCCAAGCAGAAAAAGATCTATCTGTACAAAAATACTTCTAGCAGCAATTTTTGTGGTGGCAAAGAACTGGAAACCAAGGAGGACGGGCTTCATTTGGGGAATGGCTAAACAAACTCTGGTACATGAATGTGATGGAAAACTATCGTGCTGTCAAAAATGAGGAAGGGGATGGTTTCAGAAAATCCTGGGAAGATTTGTATGAACTGATGCAGAGTTAAGAGAACAGAACCAGGAGGACAATTTCTAGAACAAAAATGATGTTGCGAAAATTAACAACATTTTGAAAAATTTAAGAACTTCCATCAACATAATGATTCCAGAAGACCCATGATGAAGCAGTGATGGAACTCAGGGAACAGAATGAGCCACAGATATTTCTGGACATGAATATGGGAGTGTTTTGCTTGACTATGCATAGTTATTACAAGAGGTTGTTTTTTTTTTTAATGGGAATTTGGGGAGGGAGAGAAAATAGATTTTTATTTACTAAAAATTTAATTTTTAATAACTAAAAATGGAAAAGCAAGCTTTATGAAAGAGATATGTGGTTTCATGTACAATCTTCTTTTTCTGTTTTACTTTGTATATTAAAAAAAGTTCCTTTTATTTGGTATTTGTTAAGTTTTGAATGTTTAAAAAAATTTAATAACCAAAGTAATAATATAACACAGGAGTATATGATTGGGGGAGTAGGGGTGGGGCAGGGGATGGGAAGGCCAAACCAGTGATTTCTGTAACTTAGGGAAATCCTGGTAAGAAACTTCCCTCAATCAAATGCAAAGATAGGCCCCTACCATATTATTTATAGTCTTAGAGAGTAGACTGAGGTATTAAGAAGTGAAGGCACTCGTCTAGGGTCTCATAGTCTAAGTATGTGTCAGGGACAGAACTTGAACCCAGATCTTCCTGATTATAAGACTGGCTCTAAATCCACTCCACCACTGCCTGCCTGTCTCTGTCCATCTCCCTCTCTCTCTCTGTCTCTCTCTGTGTCTATGTCTGTCTCTGTTTGTCTGTCTGTCTCTCTCACTATTTAAGTATTAAAATACTTCACAAAAGTCCTGCTCTGGTGCCTCCTGCTAGCATGGAGGTGACCCTTGCTTGCTCTGACCTTGTTCTTGACCTTGACCCTTGTTCTGCTCTGCCAGCAGAACACAAGCCCTGGCAGTTTTTATTGTGCTGGAAAGACTTGCAGGGAGGTCATGGTCTTTGGCTATCCCTTACACCTGGAAGTTCTTCCTCCTCCACTCTGACTACTGACCTCTCTGGCTTCCTTTAGGTCCCAACTAAAATCTTACCTCCTACCGGAAGCTTTCGCAACCCCTCTTAATTCCAATGCCTTCCCTCTGTTCATTATTTCCTATTTATCCTATATATTCAGCTTACTTTGTATCTATCTGTTTGCATGTTGTCTCTCCTGTTAGATGAGGACACCAGCTCTTTGAGGATAGGGACTGTCTTTTGTATCCCTAGCACTTAGCATAATGCCTACTGAATCCAAAACTGAATCATGGGAGGAGACACGAGCTGAGAGATCACCTGTTCTACTTCCTCAGAAGTGAAGTGACTGGTCCAAGGTCACACAGGCAATTAAGTGGTAAAATTGACATTCAAACACAGGTCATAAGACTCCAAGTTCAATGCTCTTTCCAGTCCTGGCCAGAGACTGTGTCTGCTGACTGACAGCCAAGCTAAATACAGAGAGGCTCATGGCCAGGAGGCCAGTCACTACACGGTGAATTCTTTGGCCATGGTGACCCATGAACCAAAGTAAAACACAAACTAAGCCTCACTGTGACAGGGAGCGGGTGTGGGAGAGTCTCTCTTCCTGCACCTGCAAGAATGGTGGAAGAGCAGGGGAAGGGGTCAGACAAATTATGGCGCGGAGATGGAAGAAAACACTGCTGTACCATAACAAATGGAAAGTTTCAGAGAAACCTTATGAACTCTTATGAACTGATGCAAAGTGAAGGGAGCAGAACCAGGAGAACCAGTCATATGCTAACATCAACGTTGTAAAGAAAAACAACTCTGAAAGACATAAGAACTTTGATCCATGATCCAGGCTATCCCTGGTTCCAGAGAGCCGATGACAAAGCATGCTGTCCACTCTTGACAAAGAGGTAGGTGACATACTCCAGATGCAGAATAAGAGATACCGTTCTGGACACAGCCAACATGGGAATTTCTGCTTAGATAACAGGATGGCTGGATTGTATCTGCAAAACTCAGGAATGTTCTCGATCCCAGGCTTCTCATTTCGAAAAAAAAATCAGTGCTTTCAATACCAGGGCTCTTATATGTACAGCCTATATCAGATTGCATGCCATCCTGGGGAGGGAGACAGGGAGGAAGGAGAAGAAACTCAAAAGCTTATGGAAGTGATTGTTGAAAACTAAAAATAAATTAATTTTAAAAAATATCAAGGCTCTTCCGGTGATGCTACTAAGAATGTAAGCCCCTTGAGGGCAGGAAGGAGGAGTTGTTTCATTTTTGGTTTTATATCCAGAGCACCTGCACTGTCTGGCCCATAATCATTACTTCATAAATCCCTGTGGATTGACTCATTCATTCATTCAAACAAGTACTGACAGAGTGCCAGGAAGGTTGGTGTAGGAGAAACAAAAACAAAAATATTCCCCGCCCTCAAGGAGCTTACATTTTATTGGGGAGACAATCTCTTAATTGAAGCCAAATTGAATACTACTGAAGCCCTTCCTTGTCTATCTTTTTCCAGGTTAAACAACTGCAATTCTGCCTCTACTCCTCACCATAGCAGGAAGGTCAGAATTAGATTTTATCTAAATTGCGGCTCTCTTGTAGAAAAAAGTACAGGGAAGCGCTGTAAATAGCAGGTACTAAAAGTAGGACCAGACTATAAGATTAACTCACAGGACCAAGCAAATTTTTGCATCAATTGACATGCCTCATCCCTCTAATGTTCAAAAAGCTTGCTGATAGTTTTCTGAAGAAATCAAAGCTATCTAATAGTCACATGAAAAAATGCTCTAAATCACTATTGATTAGAGAAAGCAAAATAAAACAACTCTGAGGAATTACCTCCCACCTGTCAGACTGGCTAATATGACAGAAAAGGAAAATGACAAACGTTGGAGGGGATGTGGGAAAATTAGGACACTAATGTACTGTTGGTAGCATTGTGAACTGATCCAACCATTCTGGAGAGTACTTTGGAACTATGCCCAAAGGGCTATAAGACTATCCAAACCCTTTGAGCCAGAAACCACCACTAGGACTGTATTCCAAACAGAGCAAAGAAAAGGAAAAAGGATCTATACATACGACAATATTTATAGCAGCTCTTTTTGTGGTAGCAAAGAATTGGAAATCTAGGGGATGCCCATCAATTGGGGAATGGGTGAAGAAGTTGTGGTATATGATTGTGATGGAATACTATTGTGCTGTAAGAAATGATGAGCAGCATGCTTTCAGAAAAACCTTGAAAGATTTACATGAACTGATGCAGAATGAAGTGAGCAGAACCAGAACACTGAGCACAGTAACAGCAATATTGTATGATGATCAACTATGAATGACTTAGCTGTTCTCCGCAATACAAAATCCAAGACAATTCTGAAGGACTCATGATGAAAAATGCTCTCCATCTCCAGAGAAAGAACTGATGGAGTCTACATGCAGGTCAAAGCATACTTTTTTACTTCATTTTTTTCATAGGTTGCTTTTTTGGTCTGTGTTTTCTTTTACATTACAACTAATACGGAAATATGTTTTGCATGACTGCACATGGATAACCTATATCAAATTGCTTGCCTTCTTAATAGTGAATATTAATTGTTTTGACCCAAATCCAGAGAAAGAACTATGGAGTCTGAATGCAAATGGAAGCATACTATTTGCTCTCCTTTTCCTTTGTTATGTTGTTTTATTACTTCATTCTCATGGTTCTTCCCATTAGATCTAACTGTTCTTTACATCATGACTAATGGGATATGCTTAATATGAATGTATAAGTAGAGCCTATATCAAATTGCACACCGTCTTGGGGGTAGTTGAGGAGAGGGAGGGGGAGAAAATTTAAAACTCAAAATTTTATGGAAGTGAATGTTGAAAACTGAAAATTAATTAATTATTAAAAATTGTTTTTACATGAAAAAATATTAAAAAAAAACAACGGGAGGATGATGGAGAAGGATGTTGATGAATTCAAGATGCAGTGGATAAGGGGATGAGGAGAGGTCATCTGGTACCCCAATCCATCCCAAAGAACCCTATTCTAGCCCCACAAAAGTCACCTTAGTCCCCCAGCCCAGGCATGGGTTCAGATCTTGGGGCAGGGGGTGGGGATGGTCTGACACTCACGGATGACTTCCACTTTGTAGGTGGCATTGATCTCGCCAGCACGGTTAAAGACACGGCATGTGTACTTTCCACTGTCCTCCGGCTTCAGGTTCTTCAGATTGAGTGTCCACTTTTTCTTCTTGTGCTCGCCAACCTCCTGAGGCGTCAAGGTCTTGTCATCCTTCAGCCACATGATATCGGGCCGTGGATGGCCACTGGCCACACACTTGAGCCGGACAGAGCTGCCCACGGGCCGGGCAATCACCCTCCGCCGCATCTTGGAGGGCTGGGTGAATCGAGGTCGGGCTGAAAGGACAGAACAGGGATAAGTGAGGTGAGGGCAGGGAGCATACGAGAGTCAGCTTGACTGGTGTTGGAAAAGTCAGTTATCCATCAGCAGGACAAGGGGTGAGGAAGACAGAGGAGGTAGAGGACAGGATTCTGTGCTCAAGAAATTCATGATCTGGCTGAGAAAACAAGGCTCACACCACCTCAAACAATCTGAGGGACTTGTTCTTTGAGACCTTTAGCCTGTGTGAGTGTTTTACGCTTTTCTGTGTTCTACTTATCACTTCCAGTCACCCAAGCCCAGTTCCATCTTTACCTTTCCATCAGTTCACGGTGGAAAACAGCCAGATTTCTGGGGTATTTATGTGTTGAACTTGGTCCCCAGAGGTCTGAAGACAATCAGCTAGCTGCCCAGAGCCCAAAGCAGCTTGGAAAGAAGTGGAAATAATTCTAGAAGTCAGGAATATGATCAGGAACTAGACTTTGGATTCACACTACATCAGATCCGGTAACCAATTTGCCAACATTCATCACAAAGCTCTGAGTTCTAGCTCCAAGATCCCAGAGTCCAGCTATCATCAACTGAGTTTCAGGAAAAAAACAAAACTAAAACCTCTGGGGTCCATATCTCAGGCCACAGAGATTCTGAGCACTGAAATTTGGGCTAACACTTCCAAGGGGTTGGGTTCATGTTCTGGGTTCTGGCGTCAAGCCACCACCAAAGCTCAGAGCTCTCTGACTTCTCCATCTCAGGTTATAGACTCTTGTCACTACATCTGCTTTACTCCTTAAACTCTTCATCCTGGGAAGGCATGCCTGTGCAAACCAGGGACTTTGGTCTCAATGTCCCTACCATCCCCAGTGGTAGCCCAACCCCCAAGATTTTACAGCCAGCCCAGGACCTACATTCATGCTCCTTTTCTCTAGATCTCCCTCTTTTTCCATAAAAAACAAAAACAAGAAAAAAAATCTGAAATCTAAATCAGACCTATGTGTGGATGACAGAGAGCAAATGACCCAAGGGAACCTGTAGGTTA